AAAATCTGCTTGCAGGGAACCCGCAGTGAAGATTGCTATGTTAATGCAGCTCTTGCTGACCAAGATGCAAAGGTACAATTTATATTAAAGAGTGTTTCCTATTTATTGTAAGATATATTATATTTCTAAAGGTTTATGTTTTATGCACTGCCTTAACTGCCTGACATTGGTATTGTTATCAGGCTTTGTATGAAGCTGGAGAAAAGCAGAAGAAAGCAGATGCTTCTGTATTCATTAACATCCTCACCACTCGAAGCTTCGCACACTTACAACAAGGTAAACAATGAATGATAGTAAACAGCAAACAAACATAATACGATATTTCGAAATAATCAATTTAATATAATTCTTATATAATCTGAATCACAAAAATAAAAAAAATCTATATTTCCAGAAAATCTGCAAATAAAGATGATTTATGGAAATTAAGACTTTTTCATTTTTTTGTGATATAGATATATAGGAATTGTATTGTATTGATTATTTTGGAATATTGTATTGTGTTTGCAATGATCAGTTTAGCGATGTTTACATCATATGCTTTTATAATTGTTTTTGTCACAACAGCTTATTAGGTTTATTTTAGGATAATCTAATTAGATGTAATTGTTAACACATTTTCTTCACCAGTAATTTCTCCAAAAAATGTATTGGTTATTTTTAGCAAAAATATATCCCTCTGTCTGTGTCAGGGTGAGTAAAAATAAATGGGGGGGGGGGGGCCTTTAGGGTGGGATTTGGGCTCTTGGTGGGACTGGGGAGCCTAAGGGCTGAATTGGGATAAGGGTTACTGAAGCAGGCTGAGAGGCCTGGAGAGCATAGAGGTGGCTTGTGAGCACTGCAGTTGGTTGAACCTCACTTTCATTCAAGTAAAATTAGGAGACATTATTTCATAATGTTTGTGGAATGAGCCTAAAGGTAGGAACAAAATGTGTCTGCATGTTGTGTATATCTATCAAAGTAACACATTTTTTTATTTTTTCATTTTTTTGTGCAGTGTTTAAAAAGTATGCTACATACAGCAAACATGATCTCAATAAGGCAATGGATCTGGAGCTAAAGGGAGACATCGAGAAGTGCTTGGTAGCTATTGGTATGTGTTAGCACTTGATTAATTACTATCAGAGATACTAGAGGCACAACAAATGTTTACCTAGCCAAAAAAAGTCCATTCCATTCATAAGCAGAGCACAAACCTGCACATGATTGGGTATGCAAAGTAAACACCACTTCAACACTGTAAATTCTATAAGTAAACCCCTGTGAATCATATCCTGAATTGTACATACCTTATCTTTAAATACACATACAGTAAATGTGAAAATACTGACAGTGTTCAAATGAGTTTAAGCAGTGAGGATGGAGGATTACATTTCTCCTTCTTCTGACCTGCCAGCACTGGATAGGAAGAATGCTGTGGGACATATTTGAACATCTCTGGAACCTGGAAAGGTAAATATTAGTTTAAAAAAATATTCTGTTACAACCACCGCTTTATGTATATGCACATACCTTCCTGAGACTCATCTGTACGGATAGTATGACAACCTACTGACTTGGTGATATTCACAGATAGTGTCCAACTCGATAAGAAGACTCAGAGTAGAATCCAATGTCGTTTATTTGCCTTCTCAATACATAGGATGTGATTATTTGGGGTCTATTCACGAAGCAGCCGAAGGATCTAGCCGTAGCTTCGGCCGATCCTTCGGCTAGCTTCGGCCCCAGGACCCCTTCAGTTCAGTAGAACCGAAGGGCTGCTGTACGGGCTATTCACTATAGCCCGTACAGCTCCCGAACTCAGCCGAGCGGCTGAAAGCCGGAGCCAGGCGTGATGTTACGGCTGGCTCTGGCCACTTGCAGAGAGATCAGCGTCCCTGGTTACCAGCTAACCAGGGACACTGATCTCCAGACAGCAAACTCTCCCTGGCTCTCCGGGAGTCTCCCGCTCCCGGTCGCCCAAGAGAGAAACACTGCTTTTTCCTTTATTTTCTTTATTCTGACACGGAGCCGTGTCAGAATAGAAAAAAATAATAATAATTTTGCCCATAGGAAGGCATTGCTACATTCCTATTGGCTATTTCAATTTGCAATAGCCAATAGTAAACTAGCATTGCACCCGCCCTCTGCTGCAGTTCTCCTTCAAAATCCGTGTCAGAATAAAGAAAAAAAAAAGAAAAAGCAGTGTTTCTCTCCAGGGCGGCCGGAGCGGGAGACTCCCAGAGCGCCCGGGAGAGTTGCTTTTTTTTTTTTCTGACGGCAGCAGAACCGCCGGCCAATAGAAATCTGTTGGCCGGAGCTAGCTGTCATTACTAGCTCCACACAATCATTTACTATTTACTTTTTTTGTGTTGTTCGGCTCACTTCACTTGGGGTCGGTTGTTCACTCGGCTGCCCTCGGCAGCTTAGTGAATAGACCCCTTTGTCATTCTTAGAGTGAAAAGGGACATTCCTATATTTGCCATTCACAGCATAACAGAGACCCTCTTACCTCAGAGAGGGTGATGTAGAAAGAGAGATTACAAAGCATTGCTGGGAAAGTTTAGGGGTGAAGTGGAAAGAGTAGGGGTGAAGTGGAAGATGCCAAGTATGCACAGATTAGGCTGTAACAATGCTAATCTTACACTTGTAGCTAGAGATAGAGCATAACACAATGAAATGCAGTAATATATATATGCATTGTAACTGAAACAGCAGAAATAATACAAATTACACTGGATGTGGCAACACAAAAAAATAATTGAAGCATTTTTATTGTGTGGTGTGTTTTTTTTTTACATCTTACATTTATTTACATGCACTGGTGAAATGATTTAGGGGTCTGAGAAAACCCTAAAATTAGTTTACCAAGTAGTGAGTCAGCACCTACTTGCCCCCCATAGTGAGGCAGGTTGGTTATACAGTTAGCCTTACTCTTGCCAATAACCCCACTGGGCACAAGGGCAGCCAAATAGTCCAGTAATCCATACCATCAGTGCAACATTGCTTTGGGGAAAGGAGGGTCCAGTTTTCTTGGGGAAGCACTCTTATTACACTACCCAGTGCTGAATGGCATGTGGGCTGGTATCAGCATAGCAGGTTGGGCAACACGCTCTCCACTCCCTTGACATGAGCAAACCAGCCTGCATGCTTGATGTACCAGACTGGTTAGTTCTGTGAGTGGGGGCACATAGCTTTTTTTTTTTTTTTTCTGTAAATCAAAGGCCTGAGATTTAACAAGATTCTCCCAAAAGATTCAAGTTAAGGTAAAACATATTTGCTACTGTACTATTAAGATTTGCTCTGGAAAAATGTGATCAAACAAGATTGACACTGTGAACCCTGTATTAACCATAGAGTTAGTCTTGACAGGAAATACTGGAGGAATCCTGCTGAATCTTACTTCAGCAAGTTTTCCATTAGGTAAATTATTTCAACAACTCTTTTATTATTATACCCCATACAGCAACCTTACAGGATCCAAGAATGACAAGGCCATATCACCTTAAAGATCAGGGTCAGTGGCGTAACAATCGCCATAACGACCCAGGCGGCCGCTATGGGGCCCAGGGCACGGGGGGGCTCGGCCAGGGCATCCCCCACATGCCGTGCGGGCCGCCTGGGTCGCTATGGGATCTCAGGCTGCTGGCTGTCACTGGCAGGTGTGAGGAGGAACGTGTCGCTGTCAGTGATCTTTGCAGCGGCACGTTCCTCCTCACAGCCGCTGCTGTGACAGTGACAGCCAGCTGCTATGGTGGATGATGCTG